CAATGCTGTATCTTCACTCGTTTAACGGTACACTTTAGAAATTATGAATGTAATACTTTGCCTATTAAAGTATCTTTACAACTGGCGGTCATGGCCGCATGGACTGGCTTGAGGGCCCCACTGAAGCACAGCCCCTTCCCCTTCCTCCTGAATGCAAGCATTCAAGCCGACTTAATGCCCCCCTCTACCTAATGGGAGGTCTCAAGACGTTACAAAAACTGCTAAAATTTCATAACTGTGAACCGATGTGGCTGCTTCTGTCACTTTCATAATCCCTCCATTTACCGTTACAAAAGATGCCCTATAGATTAGCACTCTTAAAATATATTCAGTTGCCATCACTCACTTCGGCTTTGAACGAAAGTTTCTCCTTATTTCTTGTCAAGGAAAAGGAACTGTGACGGGAACATTTCGCCAACAAGCCAAAGGTAAAGTGTCGCAGTTTGTAATTGCTTTCGTCAGGAGTAAGTGGGTACACCATTGTAGTGCATTCCATCATCCCATCACCTTGATCCTCCTCATCACCTTCATTCACTTCCCTTTTGGTGGGCTTTTCACCTTTCTGCAGATGTTGAGACATTTTAATGAGCATAAAATTGGAAAAGTTGGGGTAGAAGAATAGTGGAGATGTTCATTTGCCAGTCCATAGTCGAGAGTTTCTTCCCCATCTCTAGTAAGGCGTTCCAACAAAAAACATTTCTTACTATGCTTGGAAATAAATTCGGCCGAAATTGGCAATAACAGGTGGCCACGCTTGCAAAGTCTTTCTTTAGACAACACCTTTAACATCGATCGTTCCCTTGTCAAGTTGTGCCAACATTTGACATGCAAAGGCTTGAACGCCTCATTGGGCGGTTTGTTTACACATAATAAGAAGGCGTCGGCGCTTTAGCGGTAAACACCGTCCCTGCAAGTGGCTGACCACACTTGGCCATTCCGATGTCACAGGCTGACGCATCGCTCTACCTCTTCTCTCTTCTCCTTCTGCTGTCCCCATCTCTCTCCCTCATTCCACAGCCCGCCTCGTTCAGCATCTCTCCTCAGTACTACCGTCTGCCCTTTGTGGTGGATGTTCAGCACAATGCACCCTACTGCTTCACTCTTCACGCTTCCATCAAACGCCTCCTTGAGAGTTTCAACTTAAGACATCTGGTTCGGGATTTACCCTCGTCTTTTGCAGGAAATATAACATGTCTACAAATTAATGTCGCCTCAGAATGCAACGAATTGACGGGTGTTCTCTACCCAAACGAGGACTCAAAGGAGGATTGCAAGTTTGCAATGAAGATATGTGACAAAGATGCTCCTTAGATCAGGTCGTCATCTTCGGCGGTGTGATTATGATTAATGCATCGGAGGTGTGGGGCGCTATGCATGGATTAACCTCGGTGGCTCAACTGGTCATGTCCACAAGTGTGAATGAAGCAAGTCAGATCTGGCATTGACCCTATTTCATTAGAAATACTTGCCCAATGTGAGAATATTTGACAAACCTCGATGGCCATTCCGCAGTTTCCTCATTGACACCTCGCGGCACTTCATTCCATTGCAATATATTCTTCAGTTTCTGGTGAGATTTGCGTTTTAAGAATGAGAATTCCCATTTTCACCTTTCCTACTTTAGAAAGCCATGTCAACTGTTAAAATGAACGTTTTACACTGGCACATCGTTGATGATCAATCCTTTCCCTATGAGTCCTACACCTTTCCCAAGCTCTCTGACAAGGTGAGTTGGTTTCAGTCGGCGCTTGCATGGACAAAGGAGAGTTCGACGCACTCAAGACATTAAAACTTTAACATTAGATTCTCCATGTCCTCCACCAATCTATCAAACTGTTTTTTTTTTAAGCTTTTCCGACTTTATGTTTCAAAGGGGCCTCCTTAACTAGCATTCGACTTTTAGGGCGCGTATTCCCGAAATCGTGCCACCTATACCCAACAGGATGTGCAGATTATCATAGAATATGCAAGGTCCCTGGGCATCCGTGTGCTGCCAGAGTTCGACACTCCAGGTGTGTTAACCTTCTTCTCGCATAACCGTAGTTTTACCTAAGTGATCACACTTCACCACCCTCGTATCACACTGATGACTTAGCCCACGGATTGTGCATGGGTGGAGTCTTCACTATCGCCAAACCATCCCGCCTTGATTTTACATTCAGGCCACACAAGGTCGTGGGGCTACGGGTATCCCACGCTATTGACGCCTTGCTCTTTCGGCAGAGGGTCGACTGGAAGTTACGGTCCACTCAACCCAATTAAGAGTACAACCTACGACTTTGTGGCACAGCTCATTGGAGAGGTTGTCAAGACCTTCCCGGATAAAGCAATTCATCTGGGAGGCGACGAGGTGGATTTCACATGCTGGTAGGCATAGATCAGACAGTCATATTATTGCCAGACTTGAGTAACTCCCACGAACAGGATAAATCCTGTCTGTTTTGACTGCTTTTCGTTTTCTTCACAGTGATGAGTTTTAACGTCTTCACTTAAGCGTTGATGCGTCCTCAATGAAGGTCTTTGTGCCCAACATAACAAATCAAATGCGCTTATTTCAAAGCGTGCTTCCCTTTCTAGAAGAGGGATATCAGTCTTTTAGCAAAATATTGCAAAATAATCGCACACGAAGCGGTTTTAGATAATTTACTTACCTAAGCTTGCTCCAGGAATGTCTGATGGTGTACACATTTGTAGGAAGTCAAATCCGGAGATTCGTGACTTCATGACGAAGATGGGCTTCAACTCCAGTTACACAAAACTTGAGAACTACTATTTCGTCAATCTGTTCAGAAAAATCAAAGAAGTCACTAATAAAACTATGAAGACTTACGTGTGGCAAGAGGTCTTTGACGATGGTGTGGAGGTGTGTCCAATTTTTCACACGTTTATTGCATTGCAATGGTATTTTTCACGCAAAAAGTACAGTGCATAAGCACTAAGTGGTGCATGAATTTACCATCGCTTAAAGAAAACTTGGTAAACACGTAGGCATATAAAAGCTTATTATTAACTAAGCACGAAGGATTCACCCGACTTTACACTTTTGCATTCACTAATAGGTTTCTGCTTAGGTTCTAACGTTTTTCATTTTACCATTTCATTGTCCAGTCATTTTCACATAATTTGGTAAAAAAGGTCTTGGTTGGATGAACAATACTTCAAACGAATTCTGAACACCATTTTCGCTCGCTTTCACCCACAAAAGCTATTAATTAGGCTTCTTTAATGAAATGCAGCTAAACAACTCTACAATTGTCCACGTCTGGAAGAACGGATGGAAAACGGAATTGGATATGATAACGAGAGCGGGAAAAGAGGTCATTTTCTCGGCTTGTTGGTACCTAAGCAGTATCAGATATGGCGAGGATTGGATCGAACACTATCAGTGCGATCCGGCAAGCTTTACGAGTTAGTCTAATGTATTGTATACCATAATAATTATTGTTACTGAATAATTTTAAGTAGAAAATATTGATCTAAACGTAGTCTTTGCAGCGTGGCCCTTTACGTTTGTTTTATCGGTTTATGGGAGTGATGAAATTATGAAATAGGCACACTCTCCACGCTGTTCGATTCGAAGTTAGACTGGTATTCAATTTAACACGAGTTTCAAAAGCCATACAGATTTACCAATTGTGCCAACGGAACTACTTCATTTAACGCATTTTCGTCAATCATGTTTACCCGAAGCTTTCTGCACTTTTCTTGCACCAGAAATCACTGTAATGTGGAATGACACCAAAACGCTCATTATTTGATTCCTCATGCTTTCTGTAAGCCTCAGAGACAAATACTTTCGAACATTCTTGCTTATCTGGTGTCACCTCTAGATGCACTTTAGGAAAACTAATTATGTACCATGAGGTCAAGGTCAGGGGAAAAATACCATGAAATTGTTATGGTTAAGAAGTCACGCTTTTCTTGTTGTAATGCCCGAAGGTACACATCGGTGAATATGGTCTTCGGCATGGAAGTCCTTGCCTGGCTACCACCTTGCCAGGTTTCAGGACACTATTGACACGAATCCCATTTTATAATACTAAAGCTTAGATGAGGCAATTCACTCAAAATTCACTATATCCTGAGACGTAAATTTAAGTAGGCGAAAATATCATAAGTATGAGCCGAAAAGTTGCATTCTAACTCAGGGAAAAATCGTATGCATCTCAATTTGCTAACGTAAAAGGGGTTGTTTGCGACGTGGTGGAAATCGGCTACTGTTAAATTTAGATGACGCTAAACAACTTGCTCTGCTCAAAGGAGGTGGAGCTGCAATGTGGGGAGAGTATGTCGATCACACAAATCTCATTTCCAGATCCTGGTGAGTCTCCTATGCAACTTTGCAAAAAATTAGCGCCCATTAATGATAGTCTGTCTGAAAGATAATACTTATCCCGTTAAATTCATAACTCTCATCCTTCATTGTAGTTGGAGTATCGCATTTGAATTTCGAAAAACTATTTATGCATGTCTTAGTTTGGGAAGAACCTTTAATTTCCTCTTCTGTAAGAGAAAATGCAACTTTACATTCAATGGCAACAGTGGCATTAGTAAGGGTATAGTTGAACAAATGCAACCCTCCAAGTTTCTTTCAAACGCCTACCAAAACGTTTGTCTGCTTTTGAGGCCTCGTGGCGCCGCGGTCGCAGAGCGGTTGTGGAGTCCGGCGCAGGTTCACGAAGTCAACGACATGCGAATTCGTCTCATCAGTTACCGGTGTTTCCTTCTTGCGTGAGTTACTCCCTCCTCTGGTGTCCTACTTAATCACTTGGAGTGCTTCAAATGGGGTCGCGTTTGCTCAGCCAAACACAGAATTCAACCGACTGCCATCACAACGTGGTTGATGATGCATGAAAAAAAATCTGTCAATCGTTTGCGTCGGGTGTCGAATGGGCGTACAACCACAAAGGCATAGGATCTCAACATCATCGCGTCCGCAGTTTTTGCACCGGTTGAGAACCGCATTTGTGAAGGGAAAATCTGCGCCGTCTGCCGACTAATGGAGCCTTGATGATACTCTACATGACCTAAGTGTAGTCATGTGATGAAAATCTACAGTCTGGGGTAGATTTTGGATGGGGACGCAGTGCTTCCACTTCCACGAAATTGACGTTCTTGTCTAAGTGCTGTAGCAGACTTTGCTGGCAGTAGAATACGGATTTCTGATAGATAGAGGACTCAACAATATGATCTCCTTATACCACTTCAAGGCTCAGAAATAGGAATCATGACAGGTGTTCTTCCACCGATGCATTCCTTCTCCCCAGATTTTCTCTGTAGCGCCAGAAGTAGCGTAGTCGTGCGGCCGAAAGTGCACTCCAGGGCCAGGGAAGACGTGAGAGGCTACGAGCTTGATCTGGAGGTCATGTCGCCTGGAAGAACTAACATCTACGAAGACCTGACTATCTGCACATTCAAATGCGGACTTACGTTAACCAGTGGACCTCTACAACAATAGCACTTCGGTAAAAATAGGGTCAAAATGTTTAGTCAGTGCTCATTCCTTAATGGATTGAAGGGTTATGCTAAATCACTCACAAAAGGGGTGACTTAGTTGTCCCAAAAAATACCTCAGAAAAATGCGAGCACAAACCGGCTCCATTACTTCACTTTAACGTCCTGTTGTAAAGCATTTTCTCCATCTTTGGTGTTTTAGAATGGGTCTTAATGGCCAGCCCATCGCGGGACCGGACTACTGTGATCTCGCCTGATTTGGTGCCCTCTCCCAGCCTCAGAATGACCACCAACACGTTTTATTCAGCTAAACAGCCTTTGTTAATGTACTTCTGCACCGCTGTAGAAATGACACTGAAGTACACTTTAAATAACTCTTCCTTTCCTATTTCATTCCACGTAGCATTGACCGGTTATTGTGACTTTTCATATGCCATTTGTTGTGGTTAAAATGAGGCCTCCCACACAGACAACACATTTCAAAGTCCTCTTTCGCCTGGACTTTGGGCCACAAAATCGTGATTCACACGTGACCTCAATCTGATCTCCCAAGTCGTAAATGGCCTGTTCACACCGTCAAACGAAACACATCAACTCCAACAGAACTCCCGATGCACCCGCTCTTCAATGGATACAATAAAACTTTCCCCACTCGATTCAAATGGCAAAAAATCGCTTGCCTTTCTGAATTTGACTTTTGCAAAAGTCAAGACAGCACCTCAACCAACTTCCTCATAACCATTGAAGGTTGCCTCGCAATTTTGAAGAGCATTTGTGATGGTGTTAAAGTTACTTCACCCAGCAAAACACCTCAATTTGGCAGCCCGTAAGTTGGCATCTGTAGGACGGTTGGCCGCTCCAGTCAAATAGGTGACTGAGGCAAAATTTTGCGCTTTAGACTGTGTTACAGGTAATTTGTGAAGAAACGCGCTTTTATGGGACCCAGTTATGACCATTAAGACTCTCTAAATTTGGTAGAGATTTTCAGCCAATGCCATGCTTATTCCTACTACCGTATTTCCAACCTTTCCCTGATTCTACAGGCGGTAAAGTCCACATCGTTAATCGACCCTCCACTCCACGAAGGGGAGCTGCGAGGTCACGATTCTGTCCAATCGGTTTCACTCGGCTCCGTTGGCATGGCGGAATGAAGTGCTTTGGAGAGGCGCAAACGCCCTACTTACAGTCAACTTAGCTTGTATAACAGATTGTCCGTATTTTTTGGTTCACTTGGATTGAAAGACACCTGTTCCCAGCCTCAAATTCTTCATTTTCATTCAGGCACTCATTAAACAAACAAAGATGGTTTTTTGCCCACGTCTGTTCAAGCTGAAGCTCGGTATGACGAAGCCTGTAAGTAATACAGAACGAGGCTTTGTTGTGTTTACTTTGCTCTTAAATCAGAGCTGACATTTTTGATTATTCAACAGCAGTGTGAAACGAAAATTCATAAACTTTGTTGCCACTTCTTCTAGTTAACATAACAATGAAGAAATAGAAAGAAAGGTACTTGCACGTAGCACAGGAAGGAAACATTCGAGTGAAACTTGTGAGTTGATTAGTTTAGGAGCAAGTGGAAGACGCTGGCGTATATTCGGCGGGAACGATGCAGACAGGAACTTGGGAGTGATGCAAAACGTAGTCGGAGACACTGCCAAGGATGGTGCGTCGAATGGTGCTTAGGCCTCGAGAGCCCATGATGATTAGCTGAATTCCCAGATCACCCACCATCGAGACAATTCCGTCGCCTGGGCGTTTATCCGACGCCGTAATGTAGTCACAGGCAATCTTTTTCGCTCGACACAGTCCTATCACCTCCGTGCTTATCTCCTCGTCCAATCGATTCCTAAATTTGGGAAAAAAAGAACGAATCGAGTCACAAGAACATCCTGATGCATGTCCATTATGGGACACATCTCCGTAGTCTCCTTCAGTATAAGCAACTTTACCAAAGAACTCTGACAGAGGCAAAACACAGAAGTGCCCGCTTGTCACAATAAAATCACAAATGGAAAAGCACTAACACTACCACTTTAATCAACAATATGCACACCTGCCGGAGGAGGATAGGAACAGTTAAACAACACTTTTGAAGGCAATAACTGCTAACAATAACCCAATTTTACGAAGATCTTCACCAACATGATGCTGAGTGCAAAATTAAAGTTAAATGTCTTCATAGTGAACTCCAGCACAGTGAAAAAGGCGGCTTAGTCTAGTGCTCTCACAAGTTGTGACACGAATGCCAAAACCAGGGCTATTTAAGGGCTGCTAAGCTGTGTGACCCTTAAAGTGTCCTCCAGTGTGATGCACTGATCTGCCAAACTAATCAATATGGAAAGCGCCAAGTTGCCACACTCCCATCACCACGTTTTATTTATGTTGAATGGGTCTGAAAAAGTGGTCATGCGAATCCTTTCTACTGCTGGCAAAAGCACCCATTTTATACCCGTAAAAATCGTTTAGTCGGACGAAGTTGTCGGTTGTCTTGGAGATGAGGAACTCCTACTCAAATCGAGGAGCAGTAAAACAGTGGGGAAGTCGTTAGGTTGCCGCGAAATGCCAATCGTAAGAAATGTTCAACACAGCCGATTTCCACTCCCTTCAAGATATATTTGTTTTGTAAAAAAAATAGCCTCTTAGTGTCCACCGTCTAGTAGTGTCACATGAATTTTTAAAGGTGATTGTAGGTCTCTCTGCACAGCCGACCCTAATCCTGTCTGATACACCGCTGATTGAATGCAGTTAAGTTATCCATAAGGCATAAACGAACCATGTCGTGCACAGTGCGGAGTTCCTAAAGGTTTGCTTCGAAGGACATACTACTAAAGCATGACGGTCCATTTCGCGATCATGATCGCTTTAAGAGAGGGCAAAATATCATGGAATTCCCTAGAAATGGTCCAATCTATTGGTTAATTCCTTCAGCACAATCACACTAATGTGTTTTGATGCTTGGGCAACTTACGATTCCCTTTCGAAGCAAAGACCACTCCAAATCAAAATTTTGACAGATCGGATAGACTATGCATAAAGACTAACAGTGCATCACCTTTCAGTAATAGCCTTCATCCACTGATCCGAGGGAATGTTCAACCCAGATTTGATATGCAAAAGTGGAAGGTCGAGAAGTTCCTGCACATGGATGAAAAACACGTAGTCATTTTCGTCCGCCACATTTTCCAAGTACCAATGGACAGCCTTTTTAGAGTTATCGCTGCCATCCACAGGAATTCCGATCTTACGACCTTTCTCTGCCATGTTTCAGTTCTTCAGCGGGAAATTGAACAGCGATTTCAACAATGCGGACTAAGAAACTGAACTTTGACTTCTCTGGCCAATGAGAACTTGAGATTTGTGTGATTGGCTGTTGCCCTGACATCTTGTGACAGAAGTGTGGAGTGAACGTGTTCCATCCGTGTTTTGAAGCGTGATGCTCATGTGACGCCAGTCCACCGGGCAAATGGGGACCAGGAGCGATCTGAGGTTAGTATCAATACGAGGTCAAACGATGAACACTTGGTTTTCGTCATCGGTCCATTGAAAGGGTTTTTAGCTGAACTTGAGGAAATAAAAATATGACTCCGCAATTGATTCATGAGGAATGAAATTTATGTTTCCCACCACATAAGTATATTGCTGTGATTAACCTTTAAGAGGGCGTGTACGAACGTGACCGCAAGTTTCACTAAGTCGTAGGATGGTACTGCCTTGAGTCATACTAGAGCAAGGGACCAGATGTGGTATTTTTAACTACGCATCTCTTCAAAGAATACTAGAAAGTACATAAAAACGGAGGCGCCAAAGTCCGCCCTGAAGTCATCTCGGCATTTTATCATACCTACTATAAATTCATAAGCAAACCTCACGGTTACCAACAAAGCAGAAGAGAAATGGAAACCTCGCGTAGGCAAGTATGGACTTGAACAAGTGTTAGACCAGTTCTAAGAAGCGTCAACCATTTGAGCACTTCCGCGGCCAGCACTTTGGCGACTTTGTAATCTAGAAGCAATCCCCAACAATCTAATACTTCCCAAAATGTTAAGCATAACGACTACTATCGCAACCAAAACTCTACAAACCCCACTTGGAAATCTGATTATGAAGTCAAATGTGAGTCCATAAAAGTTTTTTTTTGAATCCGAATAGAGGACAACGTAGGACGTGAGCACTTAAAGCAAAACAGGCAGAGAAGGATGTATTTAGGTGCCCCAGTAGGGGCTGGGAAGGTCACCGAAGATTTAAACCACCGAATATTAGACTCGCGACCTGATGACCCAAATACGAAAAGTGCACGCTCAAGTGCTGAGCAGGTTAAGCTATTGGCATCGTACCAAAGTAGCCAGACGATGACAAAACAATGACGACAGACATGTCCGACGGACCTGATGTTGATTAAATACTGACATTGCAAAACAACAAACAGCCTCGCAAGACAACAAATTTGAAATTTAAATTTATCATGGCCAGATTGGTCACCGATACAAATAGAAGCCTTATGGCAAGTAAACAAAACGAAAATAGGACTTTAAATAAATCACTTTAATGCGAAAGTCGTAAAATGCTAACAAACCAGCCAAAGATCTTCCCAGTCAATAAATACCACGCGGGAATCATATTGAAAAAAGGCATTAAAATAGTCGGCGTCCTCATTTTCGACACTTCATATTCTAGGGAACCCTAAATGGCTTTCCGCATTCCATAGGCAGGAGGCGGCGATAGTACGCGCATAGCGCAAAGGTGCGTGCAGCTCCCGTGATTTGGAACCACTAACGCCCAGATAGCAAGCGAAACCGCATTTATAACATAAAACGCCGTCGATCGCGAATACACAGAACGCTGCCGAGGCTGTCGGTCAGACACACCAGCAGTAGGAAACCTCAAGGTTGAATTGGAAATTGGCGGTCTTTAAACGGATAACATAGAAAAATGAAAAATTAAACATCTTTTTAAATTGGTTCCTAAATACTTAAGTTCCCTAGGAAAATAGTGAGCGATGAAAATAGTACGCAGTCTGACAAGATGGGCGCAGAACGGACCCCGATTACACGCTCGCATTTAACTCTCGATGTTATTAATATTTCTTCCCTTTGCATCTTATTTCATAATATACTAACAAGCAGGCAGATGCGTAAGGCCCTTATACTCTATGTGCAGGGACCTAATTATCCCTGTCGTTAACTTTTTCAGTGCATTTCAACATAAGGTCACCGGCGATTTCCTAAGCGAAAATTATTTTAGGCCAATTTTATACTGATGGATACGTGAGACTTGGTTTATGGCATTACTGTTTACATTAATTTGAAATTGGGGACGAAAACTAATTGCACCAATTCAAAACTCCATCCACTTTCTTAAATGCCCTTAGTCAATCAGTCACCATTTGCTATCGATATTTGCCCAAAAGCAGAAAATCGGAGGTTAGTAAATTATTTTTACTCCAAAAGGAACGAAGTTATAACTTATTCCAGCACTTCTTTCAATTATTAGTGTCGTACGGGATCTCACTTAAAGTGCTTGATGAGTTTTCGCACATTTGCTTACTGCTAAGCCGCATCATCGTTTGACTTCTAGTTTCACCTCCAAAAGTGCGCAAACTGATCCATGCTCACTAGTCAATCGTGGAAACCAGAGCCGACGGTACCGATCCACTCTGGTTTGTCTATTTGAAGATTTTACAACAGCCCTTTAGGTGTGCACTAGTGACTATATTTCTGAGAAAAATTGTGATGAAATTCTTACCTGTGATAAGGTTCAGTTGCATCAATTTCTCGACAGGGTCACTCCTATCATTTGCGGATACCTGGAGGACAACATGCACAACAAAGCTTGGGGTGTACACATTAACGACAGCTATGATTCAGAGGAAGTGCCTTTAGAACCTGTTCTTAGACTAAATTGCACCATCAGGTCAACGGATGTAAGTTCCATATCTCTGGAAATGAAATTTAGAAAATTTAACAGTTACAAACCACTGGTGCCGCATGGAATTCCATTGGCTCCGTGGTGGCTATCTCGTATCCTTCTTTGGGAATTCAAGTAGGAAATAACTTTACAATTCCAGCTTTTAGTTAATTCTGTATTGTTCTCAATTTTTTATTCCGCGCGCCTTAACTCCGATAACTCTAGGTACGGGTATGACTTCCATGAGAACTGGTGCGCACACATGGCGCATTTAGCACTATGGAATGTAGCCAAAAGTCGCATTGACCCTGACAAACCCGATTATATCTTTGATACAAACTGCTGCATGAATACAGTGGCGTTTTGCGATGAAGATGCACCTCTAGTTGCTGGGGGAACTGTTTCTGGTAGGATTGCTTTGAGGTTCCTACCGATTGCCACGCCCATTCATCAGTATTTTGAAAACATCAGAACGCCTGTTTTGTCAGCATTAAGATGAAAGCTTTGAATACCTTAAAATCCGTAAAATTAACTTCATATTTATAGCATTTTTGTAAAATATTTGGTCAAGATTCCCCAAATGTTACTAAATCAATGGCTTTATGCAAAGGTTCACGCCAGAATACTGTACTAGCAGGCAGCTCCCATCGTTTCATATCGAAGTTGATTGGAAGCATAGTGTACTTGTAGAAGGCGAATTGAAACAAATAGCTATTCTCGTCTTACGTGAGTTGTAAATTACTTCTTTACACAGGCGAATTGGTTATTTGGAGTCTCTCAACGGAAAACGGCAGTCGTGTTGCCACATGTGGTTGCGTTGAGGGAGGACACCAGGACTCAATCACTGGGATATTTTGGCTTTCACGAAAGAGTCTCAACGCCTACGCCTCCAACCTAACTATGGAGTATCATCTGGTGACTGTTGGGGCTGATGGTCGTATTATTTGCTGGATCCTTCAAAGGGATCGTGCAGCAGTGTTCACTTTGAAGTCGGTGAAAATGTAATTTCATTGTTTGTGTCAATGCATTTTTAGTTAAAAGTAAAGTGTTAGATCCTGCTAGATCTGTCGAAAAACATCTGCATATGGTTGAATTGGACTTTCCTTTGCTCCGACAGCAAATCACTCATTTAAATGCGACTTTTATGCATTCTGCAAATTGCAACATTGCTCCTATTTGGTCCAACCATTTTTTCTTAGACTGAAGGTCACATAAGATGTCATTGTATTTGATGGGAACCAATTTGTCTGTCATTTAGGCGTTCATCACCTAACAATTTTGAGGCATAATTTTGCTATTTACTTGAAGGTAAGGTCGCGTCTTTGGTGTAAAGTGCTTCCAGTTTTGCATGGAAAATGTAAACCGATTGCTTACCTCTTCTCACTTCATGAGGTCGAAGAATTCTCCAAGGAAGCATTGATGTATGAAGAACTCTATCAAATATGCGCAAAATTGCTCTTCATAACAGAAAATAATTTCAATTCTATTCACTTAATTATTATCATTCAATCACAGCTATCAGGTCACGGGAAAAGACCAGTCAAGTAGACTACAGCAAGATGTCTACACTTGCAATAACTGTGACGAGAGCCTTGGATCGGATGGGGGTATGTGGTCGGTGGGGATTTCAACAGCGGCTTTTTCGCCACATTCCACAGAAGCGAGTTTCCCCTTGTTTCTGCTTGGCACTGAGAGCGGAGGATTGTTGGTAGCGCACCTCGAGACACTTGACTGGACTGCCTCCTCCTCTGGTTAGACAATTTGACTAGAAACTGAGATCATGCTTGGGCTTTTAAGTGAGGTCAAACTTATGAATGTTTTCTGCCGTCTTGTAGACTCTGTATACTCGAATACCCTTAAATCACCGGTAAAATATGTTCTTGCGCGATATTTCGCCCCAATCCATTGCGTGGCATGGAGTTTCTCTCATCGAAACTTGGTTGCTGCCAGCGGAGCCTTCCTTGGGGTCCATGTAAATCAATCTCCTCGTAATATCCCAACAGACTCTCAACTTCTTTTGTTTAGCGAGCAGGCAGTACTTTGCATCAACTTAATTGCGATTCTTGAAACCTGGTGCTGTGTACCATTTGAAGTTCTTAATTTTGGAACTCTGCTTTGTTTTAGGCTTTTGTTTCCACAATAACAAATTGTCTGCTAAAATTGAACCTGACAACCTACTTGTTGACGCCTTCTGCCCACTTTGTTCCACGTTTTATTTGGTGAAATTATTTATGCATCACTTAAGCTTTTGGCAGATAGTAATAAAGAAGAGAATTATGTAAACCCTAACCTCACAATTAAACAAACCTAATCGTCATTATAACTTGTTTATCTTATCTAACCTTTAGAGAAAGTAATTGACGTTAGGAAGTGTGCATCTTTTCAAGGATTTCTTTGGAAAGTAACTGATCTTTCCAGTAGACGTAGCAAACTTTGCACACTTTTCTCTGGGGAACGTATAGGTTAGGAAATGATTCTGCTTGCTGAAAAGTATGCGACGCTTGCTTTGTTCCAAGGGAAGCTTTGAAATGTTGTTTGGGGTGCTGATCAAAATGCCTTTAGCACCCTCAACATGGACCCATACAGTTGGCACTAAAAAAGCCTGAGTAGCAGTTGATACAATTTAAGCAAATATTCCTCCTCCACAGATATACAACATCCTTGACCGTACCCGACTCTACACGCTGGCTACGGAGGAGGGTCAAATTTTTACATTACACTTCCTTCGAAGCCCGCCTTCTCGAAGCTACCAACACCGATCACTCTTGGCCTACGGTTCTGCACGCGGGACAGTCGCGATTTACGATCTCTGCTGTAACGGCGACGTTAGCGGGGACACCACTGAAAGTGAGGATTTCACGCCCATTAAACGTTGTGTGTTGCAATGTCACAAAGAAATGTGCACTGCTAATCCTGTCATCTGCATGGCCTCGACCGACAGCGTGTAAGTGGTGCTTGCTAGTTTTAGCGTTCGATTAAATGGGGGATAGGTGGGACTGTAGACTGCAAAGCAACCATATTCTTATCCTAATTCATTAGTACTATTAGCTTTATCCATCTGACATTTTTCTTTCTCTCTTTTCCAACCTAAGTTAAACGGAAGAGCCCTTAATACACTTTCCTTTTGCTGTTATCTCACCGTACCCTAAATAATTTCGCATTTTTATTGGATCTTTAATTAGCATTGGTGAATGAAATCTCAAGATCACTTCATCATACTTGTAGTCTAGCCCTCTCAAAACTCTTCTATCTGTATCAATTCTCTTCCCCATTCCTCCTCTTTCTCCGCCTCAATAGGCTAGATTCCAAGTTTTCTTGTTTTTGGGCCAGCGTTATCTGCTTTCCAGAAGAAGAATGATAAGGCTTACTAGCTGCTCTACGGAAACGTTTACCTCTGAGCGTTGTCTCTACAAACATATGTATTTTGAAGCAGCAATTGATATGAAGCATGCATTTCACTAGTTAATTTGAAGATAATCATATTTACTTGCACGTAATTGAGTGCATTCACATTACTAAAAACGTCCAGTGCAGCGCTTTCACCACTACAAGCCTCTCATAATTTAGGCAGTTAAGTGATCGGTTTATTTAGCTTTAGTGTTATTGGGTGCCGTCCACTCGATGCTTTTCTTGCACTAGCTCATGTGTTCCCTTTCATTGGGGTCGGAGTCGGAGAAATGGATAGAACATAAAATGTAAAATGACCAGCGTACAGAAGAATGCATACGATGGATTAAACAGAATCTCAGGCTTTTCACTAGGTTGTAGAGCCTTTTGGGCGACAAATAACATAAACGGCGTGAATTCATTATACTGAGTTTACCAAAGAGAAATTACGACATAACAGAGCTATGTACTGTTTTAATATACCAAGTTAAAATTCCACCGTTTAATTTGGAAAAGACGTCATTACCTGTTCTTCCGTCCACCCTTTTTCATTATTAATAACTAAGAGTATAATCGGTACTGCTTCTCACAATGTGTCAGGCATCGAAGTATTTTTTTTGTAGAAATCCTCTAACGGCGGTGGGCACCAAAAATGGAACGTTTGCCATTTTTGATACCTCAAACTTTTATTCCCTAGGTCATTCTGATGATACCTCTTAGCACGCTTTTCATCCCTCCTTCCTGCGTTCACCATCGTCTTTAAATTTGCCTATTCATCAACAATAAAACGTGTTTTAGCAAATAACATGTGTTTGCTGTTTCAAACATTAAAAGCCAGCACATTAACTAACCGTAAAGAACCTTAAAGAAATTCGCTTTCCCAACTATCATTCTGATTCCATGAAATTAATTTGTTCATGATTTGGGCATAGAAAGGAAGTTAGTAAACGCTAAATCATGAGTGATATCAGTCACAAAGGTCAGGGGGAAGTCGATCGTGCCCTAGGCGTAGACGCCAATTAGGCACATAAAAAGATCCATGACATTAGTGCCAGTGAGGCTCGAAGGCAAGAAGTGACCTCGGTCCGGATTCATTTGACTCCTCAAGAAGTAGCCATATGAGTCACCAGAGGCTAGACACTGTCTCGCTATGTTAGCCTCTTGCTCGTCCCTGATCATTTCCTCAGTCGACCACGCGCCAGCCCCAAACGCCGTAGGACCATCAAGACCGTCGGAGGCTCGAGCAAAGAAGCCGATGTGGACGGTGATGGACGGAGGAGGTGGTGGAGATGCCGATGGGGGCTGATCAGTACGAAGATCGAACCAGTGCACACCAGCAGTAAGAGCTGCATGACTACAGCGTCCACCACGGACCGGATCTTTGGTGCCTACCGCTCTCTCATCAGCGATTTTGACCGTCCCTTCTCCGCCGAGGAGGAGACAGACACCACTAAGAAAGCGACCTCTTGGTATACTCTCCAAGGATAGTTGACCCTTGGCAACTTTGGCTACCTCGTAGCAAGCGTGAACAAGGTCGCGGTAATACTCCTTTCTACCAGTCACACGATTCTGAGCATCTTTCAAACGGGACCTCTACAGAAGAAGAAGGATCCCTCAGGTATTTGATCGAATTGCAGATCGACCTCAAGTACAAACCACATTATTTTCCTACCAAAATAAATTAAGTTTTGTAGCAAAGTGGGCTCATGCATCCATACCATCTCCTCAGTGACATGTCTTGTTGTGCATTCGGGTTTCTTCAAAAAGACCTGAATGAGACGTCGAAGTTCCCACGATAGGTCGGCGATAGCGACAGCCCTCTCTGTCATATCTCCATTCATCGCGTCAGTAAGAACAATAGGTAGGACACACCTAAAACAAAAGTAAAAGGATTACATGAATTTCTTGCAAATGCAAGAGCACTTCTATCTCAAATCAAAATACCCGGAACTAATGCGAAAGTGGTTCATTAAGACAATTTAACCAACAAAAGTGAGTTTATATTCTGCATCGCAGTACCATATTTGTGTAGAAAACAAAAATTTATAGCAAGGATCGAAGGAAAACCAACTCAAAGCTTTCCACAGGGGTCCTACGGAAGATGTCCTGAGGTAGGACGGTGCTATTCAACTGAAGACAGGATGGATTCACTTTTGCTGCATCGTATGCAGCCGCCTCTAGGGCCATCGAGAGGCTGCCAACTATGTAATTGGCTGGCCTTGGATCCACCGCAGACTGGTTCGCCTCGATCCCTCGTCGCGAAATGAGAAAGTCCTTCACCTCGACTGGTATCTAAGCAAAGGAGGAGAAGAGGCTTGTCTAGTGACTTGAGGGCTATCAATTGAAACAGGAATTACTTTCAGCAACTAGTTTTTTCCCATTTCTTTAGGTTTAAAGCACTGCCGCAACACCGATTTTAACCAATCAACATCTACCGAACGAGTCTTATTGTCCAACAGTTTTCGTATCTTTGAATTGTCGGATTTACTGAAACTTGATTCATTTGTAAGGGTTTCGCGAGTATGGCTGTACAACAGATTGCGCGTATAGATGCACGATAGGTAACGGAAAGAGCTTCCTGATGTTCATAAAGGACACAAAGGAGGGAGCTGTCGTCTTTCAAGTGAGTTTTGGACTTTGGAGTAAAACTACAGGTTAATAATATTGCGCGGTACTCCATGATACCTGCCTAGAAAAAAAGTGGCACTACATCGATCCCATGTCGCTCTCTAACAAAGAATGCTTCTGATCTTTTAAGCACGATTTTCTGTTTCGTGGTTAGCACACGGAGCTACTTATGTCGTTGTGATTAACTCCATCGCAAAACTCCCGTTATTTCCTAAAGGCAATTTTGACGACTAAACCAAGACATTATGCTTCGCTACGCCAACAAGTGTAAATTTTAAAGGTAATTTGAGAGCCCTTTAATCGAAGTAACAAAAACTCACTTTGTCACGGAGGTCGTATTTATCAAGGATGGAAAGAGCACGACCAAACCGTGAGACTCCATTACGATTGTCTGTTTCCACGTGAGTCGGTCCACTAGCAATGAAACGGATCGGATCACCGACCACATCGGAGAGGATGAGACTCACCACCTGAGCCGGAGTGGCGAAGCGAGCCAAACCACCCGCTTTCATACAGTCAAGACAACTTCGAACGCTGTTCAGCTGCACAGCAATCACGACATGTGTCATTTATAACGTCATTTTTTGGCATAGCAAAACTCCATGTTTGATAAATAAACTACAATTTTGATGACCTAGGACCTTATAATCCGGTAGCATATATATTTACTGCTTCAGTCATAAGGAATTTCCCGCCTTTAAATGTCACTAGGACTTTATCAATGATCGCATTCGAAACCAAAACGAGCTGGAGTCAATTTGTTAAGAATACGGTACAAATGGAGCCCAATCAAATTATGGTGAACGAATGTTCTGAAAGCATTTATAGATGTTGCATGATATTGCAAACAGCATAGCGCTCCAAATAAAGTCTACGAAAATGATCATCCTAATGGCAAAAAAATAAACCACAAGCTGTCGTTTAAAAATAATTTGGTTTAATTTAGTTTGTTCTGTTCTAAAATGGGCTACGAAACATGCAGAGTGGTAATTAATGCAAGCTTCTGCGAACACTTACGTGTTTATTTCAAAAATATTTTGAGCAGGGGCTACACATCAATCGCAAATGCACCTCATGCAGACACCATGTTTGATTCTTAAGTTGTCATTTGACCAGGTTGCAAATCGAACAATAACAACCAGTTTCCGTGTAATTTTAACAAAATTAGATCAAATCCTTCCATTCAGAAATGGATAGAAGGGCGATCTCGCACCGAATCGCAGTTGGAGTGTTGTGCAAGTGATAACGCTCTTGCAAATCAACTATAAAAAGTACCTTTTATGACGCATCACAGCAGAAAGTTCACTGAGAGCAACATTAAAGGTGGAGTTTTGGAAAGAGCTACGTGAATTGATAAACCAATTGCGTAAGGCAGACGATGGAAAAGTAGCATAACGAGTCGGTTAGGAATGGAAAATAAAGTGGCATACATATTGCTCGCAGTGCCGCGTAAGTGCACTGTCGAAAATATCGATGAGAAACGAATAAAACGTTAAACGAACCTCTTGAATCGTTGCTCCTTTAAGAGAAAGGAGCCTTGATGTTTCAACAACGGCCTTAAGGCTTAAACGTTTAGTAGAGCCATCGAGAGGAGATGCAGTGCAGTCAATTGGGCTGGGTAAAGTCAAGAGTGCTGACCCACCACCACTAATGCAAACAAGAAGGAGATCGCCGGCCTTCATTTTGGTGGCAATTTCAGCCATTTTCAATGAAGATTTAACCACTTCTTCGTTCGGTTCGTTGGTTCGAGGACCGTAGAATACAAACAATTTCGATGCGGAAAGATTCGCAGATTTAATATCAGCGTCAGAAAAGAGCCTAAAATCGAAGGAGTTACTGTTTACGAAAGTTGTTGAAAGGCTTTTCAAAATAAAACCAAGAAACGCACTCCGGAAATTCGGCTACTTCTTGATTTGTGGGTTTAGGTACGCAGCACACGATGGTATCGGTTCTTGAGCCTAGAATTTGGATAGTCTGTCTAAAATGGATTTAAGTGTACATATAGTCACTATCTCACCTTACCAATCCCATCGCTGCTTTTCCGAAACCAAACACATTGAGTCGTCCTGAATAGATGAATGTTCTGCCAGATATTTTGATACCATTTGGAACTAAGCTCAGTTTTTGGTCAATCTATGCAAAAGAAAGTGACAAATAAAGCCCAAAAGATAAAATTCTATAAAAATGAAGGATGATCAGGCGTAGGGTGAATCCATTTCCACACCCCTATTGTCTGCCCCAGGTTGAAACTACACTTAAGACAAAAGCTGCAGTTCAAAGTCTGAAATACGAACCTACACAAGCGATTCCGGCAAAATATGTAGACGTCTTAAGTGTAGTAAGACAGTGAACAGTTCGGCTAGTTATTTAAAACCCGTGTACTGTCATTATTATTCAAAATATTCCAGTATCTTAAACAAAGTTCCGTTACGACACTTTCGCATCTATGGAATAGCTGAGGGTTTAAGTGTCTATGGTGCGATGAAGGAAAAATGTTCTCACCAAGCGATTCGGAAGTACAGCCTTTACTCCACTCTCCAAAATCCTTCCAAACTCCAAAGCCAATGTCATGACTTCGTATCTGCGCTCACGTCCTTTATTGTGTTTAAATACACAACTTTAAGGTACAAAATGAAATGAAATTTGGAAAAATTGTTTTTGTGATTAATAAATCCGACGCATAAGAATTGCTTATTTTTTCATTGAGCCCAGCACTGACCATGCTTTGCCAATAAGAGTGTGTTAACCGTTTTTCAGAGTTGGTGTATTCATGTTTAACAAACATGCTTCGTTTTAATATTCTCAGTTCTCCGAGTATGATATTTCAAGCCTTTCTGCTTGATAAAAAAGCCATGCGACCTGACTAAAACATATAATTAGAGAGAATGGCAGCTTTAGGGTGACCTGTGGGCCAGCCAAGCCGATGGAATCATGACAATCGCCACCCATATAGGCAGCTGTATCAACAAGATATCACATTGTTCCTGTCTTCTGCTGAATAACGTCTTCAGCACTTTCCCCGATGTATGTATTTCGAGTCGACGATCACATCGAGGTTGATACTGGCATGCGTGTCAACTTTCCGAAATTGAAGGAATGTACTTAAACTTTTCAGCAGCTTCAACTAAACCAGGATTTTCCTCCGGCTCAAATACACGCTTTAATGACGGGCTATTATGCTAACCATTATAAGACGTTTTAATGTTTGTGCCTAGGGTGAAAAAGGGTAGGTGGGCTTTGGCATGCCCCCGAGGTTAGTTTATCCGGTAGAAGTAAGATAGCCTTCAAAGGGAACGCCATTCATAGAGTATCCGGATAAACAATGAGTCACACCACCCAAAGGCAGGTAGTTTCTATATAGCTCAGCAGTGCTTAATTTGAGCGAAGAAATTGCAAGCGATGATTTGTTATTCCAATTTCCAGGCTCTAATGTATCTGAGATCTTCTGTCACTTCTGGTTTACTTCGCCCCTGTGATTACTTTGGGACGGAACGGACTGCTTGAACTGTCTGATTTGGAAGGTCTCAGATTGTAGTCTTGCACAACGTTGAAAATGTTCTCCACCTCTCACGTAAGCCATCGGCTCAAAACAACAATGAGCTTTACGATCCTGCAGGGTACGAAACCAATAAAATCTGTTCTCAAGGTAAGTTATCTTTTGGAGGTAATAACTTCTTGTTGTAAAACCAAATGTAACTGGTATGGGAAATGACAAGCTAGGACTTTTTAATGCAATATCTCCTAGTTGTTTGTAATGTATTCATTTTTAAGAGATGTCAAGTCTGATTTTGTTGTTTCCTATCACAGTGACTACAATTTTTCCACAATAGCAAGCTAATGGAAGCTACATACAAACGAATGGTAGGTACCCATTTGTGGTGCGCTTATAATGTCATGCTCCTAAATCTTGAACACGGTGTAGTAATTTGGCCGTTTGTTTAGCTCAGCGTTTGACTACGTAAGTACTCCGCCCTACTGCGACCTTTAATGACCTCACGAGAGGTTCGAGGTGTTGCGTCGGAAATGTCTGTAGTAAATTTGCAGCCATTCAAGGCATAATTTTGGCTTTCAGACTAACTTTTACTAGAAATACGACCTTTCTCCACTACTTATAAATGAGGTTATTTTTACACCTACCACTTGTTGCTGCACAGTTGTAAACAAATTTGATTGATATTGCTCGCACATTTCGTCTAAAAGGGAGTCTGAAGCAAATCTGGTCATTAGGTGCCTCGATTCGGACCTTCATGATTCACAGACTTCATTTTAAGACGGATCTGATAAGCATAATTTTAATTACAGGAACTTTGTGATGAAAAATTTGCGTACAAGGATTAGTAGTCGCTATAACTCCCAGTGTT